ATCTTCCTCCTGGAACGCTTGGTTTAATGGAGGGTCATTTTCAGGGAAAAAAAGCTTCAAAAAGAGGGTCTCTTAGACCTTTTTCCGAGTTCCTACTGGCAGGATCAACCAGATAGCACTTTCATTTCATACATTCGCCTCACTTAGAGAACCCTTCTCTCGTGAGGAGACGTTTAGTCATCCCATTGACACAAACGTCGAAGACTCCATTCACCACTTGAGCTCTCACTTCAGCCTCAAGTCGATAGACTTCTCGTCTTTCTTTTCAGGCGTGGCACACAGCACAACTGAACCACCGTTTCAACACTCATGTTTGGGGCATTCGAACGCATGAGCGTTAGGAGAGTGAGAGACTCACAGTCCCGAACGAACACACGGCACCCAAGGGCCAAGACGACATGCTGCAGTCAATCGCAACGAACAACCTCGAGACTCCCAGTCTCCACGATACACTCATTGACTTTCGGGCATTTGAACGCATGAGCTTTAGGAGAGTGAGAGACCCACAGTCCCAAAAGAACACACGGCCCCCAATGGACAAGACGACATGCTTCTGTCAATCGCTACGAACCACCAGTACGTTCGAAGCAACCAACATCAGCCCCTACATACTATCCTAAGCGAACACAGCTGTGGGGCGACTGTGTTCGCAGGCTTAAATATTTTCAACTTGCCCTGAGAAGGACGGTTTATGCTTGGTTCAATATTTTTCAATTTCAATCTGCCCTGAAAAGGACGGTTTGCTGTGCTCTAGACGAGACGAATCGCAAAGAGAAGCACTGGTTCTTCTCCCTACAAGCCAGAGCCGTAAGACCCATTTTTGCTCTCGGCTAGAGCACCCCCACACTATATACTTTTTGTATCGCGGTGTGGAAGTGCACAAAAACCAGCAGGAACTCGGAAAAAGGTCTAAGAGACCCTCTTTTTGAAGCTTTTTTTCCCTGAAAATGACCCTCCATTAAACCAAGCGTTCCAGGAGGAAGATTAATAACCAAAATCATGTTTTCACTTGGTGAAAGCATAAAACCTATGTACACTTCGTACATAGGTGTATATAATGTACAGATATTACATCGCTTATGTGCAGACAAAAGCATAAACATAGGGCAACATGAGCAACTAGAACATAAGAAACATAACGAATAATCATGCTTTCACTTCGTACATTATGTGGTCTAAGCGGACCTCCGCGGAAAGCCTTGCTCCCTTGAAATGACGCTTCATTAGACCAAAAGTTCCAGGAGAAATAAAAATAACCAAAATCATGCTTTCACTTTGTATACATAGGTGTATACAATGTACAGACGTTACATCGCGTATGTGCAGACAAAAACACATAAACATAGAGCAACATGAGGAAGTACACATAAAAAACATAGCGAACATATGCAAATATACCATTATTCCACGTATACTTGAATGAAATCAGAAAAAACATAAGACACACACTACAACAAAAAGTCTATATTCCACAGCGTAACTATGTACCTACTGTATAAAATCACGGTACATACAGTAATTCCGTAGCATATAACATATGTACTCACATAACATATGCACTTACTATATAACATGCGCAAAACTAAAGAAAATCTAACGAGCGAACAGTTCTATTCGATAAAGTATGCTATGACACGACCCCATACAAACAACGGAAAGCACGCCTAAAATAATTACAATCGAATACACCTCCGCCCAAAATTTCTCTCTTATCCGAACTTTTAATAGAGAGGCTCCTTCTGGGTGCTGTCTAAAAAACTAATTAGGTAAGTGCTGTCTATATAGCTAATTAGGTTGGTAATGTTGTCCACTTGACTGTCTATATTATGAGAGAGCACAAGAAGGTAGCTTCTAATCCTAACCTCTAACCAGTGTAGGGGTGAATTAACATTTGGTTATAGGCAATATACAGACCCAAGAACTTGTCTGCCTAAGATGCAGCCAACTTTGTCATGGAAACACGTTTTTCATTTTTTTAGTTATGTTTGCACTATATATTTCAAAAAATCGGCCAATTTTTTTGCCATCGAATGATGTAAACCGAATTTCAATATATACTTTACTTCTTCTGCTATTAACGATAAACTGACTGCTCTCGTCGGCGGCAAACACAAGCGGCAGGGTCTACCGAAAGCTGCATTCGGTTGCCTAAGATGCAGGCGCTTTTGTCATGGAAACAGGTTTTTCATTTTTCTAGAAGTATTTCTTTATTTCATGTTTGCATTATATATCTCAAAAAATCGGCCAATTTTTTTGCCATCGAATGATGTAAACCGTATTTCAATATATACTTTACTTCGTTTGCTATTAACGATAAACTGACTGCTCTCGTCGGCGGAAAGCACAGATCCTAGCCTATAAATAGGGCGAACCACTTCGTTCTAGTGATTCATTTCATTGCAGCTGCAGAGAAGAGATATCTGAACTTTCATTATGTCTGGTCGTGGCAAAGGAGGAAAGGGACTTGGGAAGGGAGGAGCCAAACGACATCGCAAGGTTTTACGTGACAATATCCAAGGGATCACGAAACCTGCCATCCGTCGCCTGGCTCGTCGTGGTGGAGTCAAGCGAATCTCTGGCCTCATCTATGAAGAGACACGTGGTGTCCTGAAGGTTTTCCTGGAAAATGTCATCCGAGATGCCGTGACTTACACTGAGCATGCCAAAAGGAAGACTGTTACAGCCATGGATGTTGTGTACGCCCTGAAACGACAAGGACGTACCTTGTATGGCTTTGGAGGTTAAGCTCGTACTCACCGTGAACAACTTTTCAAACGGCTCTTTTCAGAGCCAACAAAAGTCAAAAATTGAAAATATTGAACCGCTCAGTACTCTTCCCTACCCTATCATTAATTAACAACCTGAAATATAAAAAAGATTACAGCACCTGGGGTTCCTAGGAGGTCTCCCATCCAAGTACTAGCCAGGCGCGACCGAGCTTAACTGCGGTGATCGAACGAGAACCGGTGTTTTCTCGGTGCTATGGCCGTAACCAACAACTGTGTGCTTCCATAACCCTACTTAAGCCACGTTCTCATCCATTCGCATCTTTTTATTATTATTCGACCTCCGTATGTACCGTAATATATCCGTAATATATAGAATACAATACATATACACCAGCCATAATGACGTACTTCGTATAGATCTCTCCAGAATCAAACAAGAAAGCATTTCCCTGTGCTGAAGCGACAAAACACATCTCAATCGCATCCCTTCTCACCAAAGTAGTCTGAATTCATATAGTCAAAACGACCTCAGAATTTGTATACAGCAGTGACTACTGAAGTCGAAGTCGATATGGCAAGAACAAAGCAAACGGCCCGAAAAAGCACCGGTGGGAAAGCTCCTCGAAAGCAGCTCGCTACCAAAGCTGCCAGGAAATCTGCTCCTGCTACTGGCGGAGTGAAGAAACCTCACCGTTACAGGCCTGGTACTGTCGCTCTTCGTGAAATCCGTCGCTACCAGAAAAGCACTGAGCTCCTCATCCGCAAACTCCCATTCCAACGATTGGTGCGTGAAATTGCTCAAGATTTCAAAACCGATCTACGTTTCCAGGGCTCCGCCGTTATGGCTCTCCAAGAAGCCAGTGAAGCTTACTTAGTTGGACTCTTTGAAGACACGAATTTGTGTGCTATTCATGCAAAACGTGTCACCATCATGCCCAAAGATATTCAACTTGCGCGACGAATCCGTGGAGAACGAGCTTAATTCTTGTTCCCATACCTCCAAACGGCTCTTTTCAGGGCCAATAAATAAAACAATTGAAATAATTGAACTTCGCTACGCCCTATTCCTCTTTTCCTCGTACCAGACACAACCCTCTAACCACAGCGACTTCTAGTGGCAGGAGTGCCGGTCGCCCTGTTAAAACTCGTTCTTTAGATCTCTTTCACCAGTGCGTTTCCTTTCGCCCAGGACTGACTGGTTGGCTAAAAGATATACTCAAAAAAACGCATTTTCTCGTTGGTGTTACATCCGATTTTAAGATTTTCAATAAGGTAAGGATCTCCTACTTGGAGGCTTGGCTGTTCATGGCCCGTTTGTATTTCTTTCAACGATTACGAGGTAAGTGGTTCGATCCCACCCAACGTCTTCATTTTTTTTTTTTCTTTGCGAACCCAACGTTACTGGATCGATCCCACCCCACGTCCGTCGAGGACATGTAATGCCAGACA